ATAGATGGAATAGGTGAGAGAGAGAAGGAGATGGTCTAATTGGATTGCTAGACTCTATTTAGGTTAATTAGAGGTATGGGAGCTCTCGAACTGAATATAGCTTCAATTTTCATTGGTTGTGTTTAGAAGTTGGTAAATTTATTCTGAGTTACCGATTGCATGGTGTGAATTTAGTGAGATATTAATGAAGGGTTAATTGTGGGTATGAACACTTGAAAAATACAATGAAGAGATCAGAAAGAGAGAGAGAGAGAGAGAGAGAGAGAGAGAAAGAGAAAGAGGTTATAAGGCCCGCATAGAAACTTATCTGCTCAAACTGTTTTGCTTAGATTTTATTATTTTCTGCAAGTATATTGACTATACTGACTTACCAACTCACTTGTACCTTGTACAAATGTGATGATTACCGTGTCAATTAATATAATCATTTTTTTTAAATTATAAAACAATATGTCTTTTATGTAAATTTTGTTATCTGTATTATTTCTGCATGTGAAATGTGAAATCAATAAACTCAAACTGAAACTCAAACCTTTATTTAAAGTGCAAGTTAGGTTTTCTGTTGTGCAATTTTTTTCTTCAGAGAATTGAAGCTAAGGGCCAGAAGGGCCTTGACTATAGTCTGCAAGCACAGACCCTAATTTGACACTGTATCAAAAAATCATTGTGCCTTGAGAGAAGCCTAGCCCAGCTACATACTGGGGAGCACCTATAGTACATGACCTATGGTAGTCTTATAGTGCAGACTCTCTTTTACAACTGACCAGGGTTTGTGCCTGCAAACTACCTTGACTGTGTGTAGATGATATGAGTTAATGCCCTTCTGGTTCCAAACAGACGATATGATACACTGTAGGACCAGCAGGGAACAGAAACAAACAAACAGACAAATATTGATGGTTTGTCCTCACTAATTGATAACAGGCTAGAGACAATCAATTGATTGATTGATTGATTTTTTATTTCATTTCATATAACAATTGTTTGCACAATAAAGAACATAGTTGCCAAAGTAAGATCAAAATATGAAATGAAACAGGAACCTACGGATCTGCTTCTGGAAAGCATAGCTTGTTTTTGTTTTTGATATGAATAGATAGGATGAGAAATAAAGAAGAAAGAGAGTAGAAAATGATTTTAATGAAAGCAATGATATTGATATAGGATGATGGAAAGAGACAATGACAGGTCATAATAAAACTAATTATTTCTTCATTTAAGTTTAATATGCCTTGGAATGCTATCAGAGAAGATGAGCCGATCAAGAGGCCTTTCTAGCTCTCTCTACCTCTGCTGTCTTACTCTGATTAGAAAATAATAGTACAGCATTCATGAGACCTGTTCACACTACTCGTCTAGTATTAGACTCACACTTTGACCCCGTTCTCACTCACTTTGAAAGTGGTCTTAGTTAGACCGCTCCAGACCGCTCCAGAGGAACGGGTCTTGAGGAACGATTTGCGAGCGTTCACACTCCGAGCAGTTTTTATGGCTCAAACCACTCCACGAGTCAAAGTGGTCTTGTTGCTATAGCAGCTCGGGTAGGCGGGTCAATTTTTTCGCGCGCGGAATCCAAACCGTATGTACCGTACTACATGTTTCGCACCGAAGGTCACTAGCTCACTTCCGTTCAAAGTACGCTTTCCGTTCACACTGCACGTTAGAGCGCTCTTGAGCGCTCTTAATAAGACCCGCTCCTCAAGACCACCTCGGAAGGTGGACTTCTGGAGCGGTCCAGAAGTCTGCTTCCTGGACCACTTTGAGTGTTCTCACTCACTCACCTAAGAACCGCTCCTGAGGAGTGGGTCTTAGTTAGAGCGCTCCAGAGCACTCCAACGAAGTGAGTGAGAACGGGGTCTTTGATTGGCTGCTGTTCAAAGCATGTTCCATTTGATAGGATGTGTACGAAGAGGCTGAGCATCGCAGGAGATGTAACGTTGTTAAGAAGGAAGGGTAGTTAGTAGTTACGTCATGAGGGTAGAATGAGAAGATGATGTGCTTTTGTAAGTGTTTTAATCAAGTTAATTGCGTCATGCCATTAAGTCAAGGTTTTTTAATCAAACCAATTACGTCATGTAGGTAGTGCACTTGCTGGGGCTGACAATGAAGAGCAGTGTTCTTGTATTCAAAGTGAAGTCCTGATTTGGTATACTGTACTGTATTTGCGGTATTTTAATTTCCATGGATTTCGTGCTAAGATCAGCAAGCGCTAATTTTAGAACTCGCGAAAAATATAAGCATGCCTTCTTATGCATGTTTTGAACGGGCTGAATTGTGAGCAACACAAATTTAAGGACTCGGAAATATGTTTTGGGGTCGCTCAGAGCGAAAAATTAATCACGCACAAATAACAGCGTTTACAGTCGGGCATTATATCTCAAAGTAGTCACCCCTCAGACTTCAAGTATAGTTGCTGCAATGCTTTCTCATCTGGTAACTTACACAATGCATTCTCTGTCTTGGAGCTTGATATAAACACAGACCAAACAGTTACATATCATCAGTACATAGCATACATCTAGTTAATGATCCACACCATTCACATGTACACAGTAAATCTCTGGCAGTTTTACTCAATTCAAACCACACAAACACATCCATTTTGTAGTAAAAGGGGGGGGGGGGGCTGGTCAGGATTCAGATCGCTTCGTCTCTATTCATACATGTACAAATGTATATCTTAAGGTTGATTATACATCTTCCTCTTTGTTCTCTTTTATAGTTATCATGAAAAACATAAAATAAGATATGAGTATTAAAGACATAGACATATTGCTTTGAGCTTATCATGAGCACTAGTCTCATTTGTCAGACATGTTATCTTAAGTTTACATAAGCTAGAAAGGTCATACTGAGGTCATTCCTGAATCTATCAATCATATATGTCTGTTATAACATTCTTCCCTGGGACATTTTCTCTTTCTTTTATTTTGTCACAAATGAAGAATAAGGTTAAGAATTTTGGCTATGATTACGTTGAGAGATAGGTTTAGGCTTATTGTTATGTTTAAAGTTACTTTCTGGATATTGCTTGGGGGTGGGTTAGGGTTAGTGCTGGGTCTTCATATTATGATTAAAAAACACAGATCGAATCACGAAGGAAGAAAATGAAGGAAGAATTTCTCAAGAAAGGAAGAAAAGGAGATATAAATAATGAGAAGAAAAAAAAAGGGGGGGGGGGTAAAGAGTGAACTCATATACCACAGTTTATAGTCGATTGTATGAAGAAAATGATGTGCATATGTAAATCTCTTCTTGCCTTTAATAGAACACCTAAAAAGCTGATGTAATGAGCATTAGATGTAAGGTTATATACATAGCTCAGTTAATCGTCTAGAGCAGGCCTAGAGAGCTGAGTTAATTGGTGTGTTATTAGATCTCAGCGTATAGAGCCTTCACGCTCTGTAGGCCATGCAGAAATCTTCACACCTATCCTTCTATATATGGCAAGATATTAACCCCCCTACCCCCTCACCCAATTACACCCTGCATTCCACCAATCACAATGCTTTGTCCTAGGGTCCTGATGACTTAATGCATTTACCATATTCTTCAAGATCAAGAGAAAGGGCATTCCAAAGGGTTCAACAGAAAACATCCTCTTTTGTTAATTGCCCCAAACCCATACTTCTTAAAGTATCACATCTAAACCAGAATACAATATATTAATCCCCAGTTAAGTGTCGGTAAGGATTTACTTATTTTCATTTGTTATCTTATTAAATCACTGCGTTTATATTCTTCTAATATGTAATGTTTGATTAAGTGTACCTACATGTAGGTCAAGAAGGCTGTGTATATACGAGCTATTGTCATTGGCAGTCACATACTTATTGTTGGAAGCTGATATATTATTATCCAGGTTGTAGATATACAGGCAGTCAGCCATGAGGTGTATCCATCTTCAGGAATCACCTTTGAAGACAAAACAAACAATCATAGCTTCTTCAAACAGCTGTCTTAGACATATGCTCAGCCTGATTCCAGGAATGGGTTCATATCTACTGATGAGAGCATTTAGTGATCAACCAATAGTCTCATTTGTTTAGTGTGATGTCTGGTTTTTAATGTCACAATGAAATGCCTAGTTCATTTTTCAGCTTTTTGTATTAACCTTTATATGCCCAAAGACCATTATTGCATTTAATTACATTTAATTGTATTTTAGTTGTATTTAATTGCATTTAATTACTTTTGATTGTGTATAATTTTATACATACCTGTACATGTAAAGTGCACATGTATGTAGAGTTGGTTTGATGTGGTTTTTTCTGTTTTTCTTTCACAAATTAATTCCACACAAAGAAAAAGTCCAGATTTTGACATTTTAAAATATTTGTGAAGTCTCCTTCTTGTGGAATGTCTGGATAAGTGTATGCTAGAATATGAAATAAGGACTTGATGAAACTATTGTTATTATTAATATCCATATTCCATCTGAGATGTGAGTTATACCTGGTGTAGAACATGACTTGTGCTTGTGCAAGTACATGTCAGGTATGAAACAAAGACTAGGTTACATTATGTAAATTGCCATGGGCTATATAACATGTTAGTTTGTGATGTGCGTTTGAGAGGTAATGGACCATTTGTATTGGTGGGGCAATACAAGTCTGCACACTTACTGTATTGAATATGAGTGGCAAAGCAATATGGGTAGACACCTCAGAGTTTAATTGTGAAAGGATTTTGAACAGGAGAGTGGGAACAACATTGAAGGAGAGAGAGAGAGAGTGCCATGTTTTTTGTTGGGGGGGGGGGGGGGGGATGGATGGGTGGGAAGAGGGTAGATTGATGCATACAAATGTAAGCAGTTAATACATGTACATGTTATGTATTTTATTAATAATAACTGTCTCTTACGGTCTTCTATCTCATTTGAAACTTATGAAGCACATGAATATGACTATTTCTCTGAATGATGATATTTTCTACCATCTATTGAAAACCTGATGTCATTTTTCTTCCAATCATATATACACTGTATGTGATATAGTTTTCTTCTCATTCATCCATATTTCTTTTTATATTTTGTCTCGTGCAGGAATTTGCAACATTAACGAAGGAGCTTAACCAGGCCAGGGAACAGCTGCTGGAGAGAGAAGAAGAGATCTGTGAACTCAAGGCAGAGAGAAATAACACAAGGGTAAGCATAGATGGATGGATGAATGGATGGATGGAGGGATAGATGGAGGGAGGGAGGGAGGGAGGGAGGGAGACGGACGGATAGACAAACACTTACATTAATGGACAGGTGAAAAATACTGAGAGGAAGAGATCTAAAAAAGAACTCTGATATACCAACAGGAAAATAGATCACACCTTGCATTTATTTTAGCAAATAAACATGACAAGTAACACAGGTACGTACACAGGTACTGTACGTGGAAATAACAAAGATAGAAAAGTGAGAGATAGAGAGTTCTCAATTATTCAAGATAATGTGATGTTTCCATGAAGCCCATCTAATATCTGATCTCATAGTCATCACCTTGAACACCTCGCCTCCTGAGAGACACCTAACACATATTTTATGTTGTGTCATATCAGTTATCACACCTTGTTATAATGAGAACAGACATGCTACCATTCTTTATGTCATGTCAATTTCATGCCTAGACGGTGGGCGTGCGCCTTGATTTGACGCATGGCCATGTTTTCAATTTCCGACTGCTTCCTTCCCATAGTGTGCTGTACATGCATAACCATTCCAGGCAGGAATATTGAACCAGGCCTGATTGTGAACAAGAACGGAAAATTATCAAGATACTCAACACAAACAAACATATAGGTCACACGAAGCAACATTTAATTAGTATTAGTCTGTTATGTACAGATCTCAGTTTGTGCCTTTGTGGCTTGGACTGGGTGGATGTCTTGAGCAGTGATACATGAATACATTGCTATTAATCAAAGGGGTCCTTTTTTATAAATCATAATGTTTAGACAGAGGTCGTCTAAAATTGTGTTTCAAGTTTGACATGAAAAGAAGCATTTAGGGCTAGAATTGAACATTATTAACAGTATACAGCATAACATTCATTTACTTGTAGATACAAAGTATGAAGGAAAAACAAATCAATTTTTTTTTTCTGTAGTGTCTCTATGGAAGTATCTACGTGTATGTATATAAACCCTCGAGGGGTTGATGTTTCAAGGAAAGTAAATTAATAGTGTAGATGAAGGTTCATAGAGAAACATCTTCCTTTGTTAGATTCTCTTTAGCCTTCAATATTTTTTGTAACAGATATGTCTCACTTCACTCATAAGCTACTAATGTAAATCTTGCATGTCTTCTGCTCGTGCTAGACATGTTTCTGCAATGCTTTCCAAGCATCATGACTTGTCATACTTTGTTGATATATTGTTGTATTTTGATGTAATTTTTGTGTATGTTTATTCTTGCTGTTTCCCTTACTTTTATATTGGGGATGTTATGTGAATGCAAATTGTGCTTTGAATATTCGTATATTCTGTGTTGTTTTAGAGGTTGTATTGGAGCAATTAAGATGTACTTGGTTCTTAGCTTATTAGGTGATTTGTTTTGAATCACATTTATTTATTTTCTTCATGATTTGGTGTGTTAGAGTTGGGATAATATGGGATAATGGGATAAAAGAGATACTAAAATGAATTCATGAACTGTTGATCTTCAAACCTTGAATTGTTTGATGTTTTCCCCACAGTTACTGCTAGAGCATCTTGAATGTCTCGTGTCTCGTCACGAGCGTTCGCTGAGGATGACCGTCGTCAAGCGCCAAGCATCGTCGCCCGCCGGCGTGTCCTCAGAGGTCGAGGTCTTGAAAGCTCTTAAATCTCTCTTTGAACATCACAAAGCTCTGGATGAGAAGGTCAGAGAGAAGCTCAGGGTCGCTCTCGACAGGGTCAACTCACTGGAGGGAGAGGTCGAGAGGTCACATGGAGAGGTGAGAGGTCAAAGGTTATTCATGTTGCAGAAAGCAGTCTGATTTGTGTATGAGTGATTTCAATGAGAGAGAAGAAAGAGAGAGAGAGAGAGAGAGAGAGAGAGAGAAAAAGGGGGGGGGGGGGTAACTTCTAGTCATATCTCCGATGAAAATGAAGCTTATTTTGGTGATGTAATTTGTTACAGCATAGACTACACATGAACCTACTGAGTACTGAATCTCATTCCAATATGGTGTAATACAGGATCTACCTGATTTACATCATTATATAAATAATAGGAAATGCACTGAAGTCAAATAGTCAGATGTCAAGAGGTCAAAGGTTATCTTCCACTCTTGATGGGGTGACGTTTGGGGTGCAGTTTGGGTATTTACCGCCCAACCCTGGTGTAAGTTGAATGATTGGAGTGTTGTGTAGCTACTTAAACATGTAACTTGCTTAACTTTTCTCACCTTTTGCAAACTTTCCTTTCCTGTTCCTCTGCCTTTCTGTTTTCAAAGAAGGGTTGATTACCCTGTAAGGCAGTATGTTTGGAGCCTGAGGGGCATTAATGCATACTTGAATATAGAGTTAACGTCCTTCTGGCTCTGCCCTGAACAGTGGGAGTGAATATAGAGTTAACGTCCTTCTGGCTCTGCCCTGAACAGTGGGAGTGAATATAGAGTTAACGTCCTTCTGGCTCTGCCCTGAACAGTGGGAGTGAATATAGAGTTAACGTCCTTCTGGCTCTGCCCTGAACAGTGGGAGTGAATATAGAGTTAACGTCCTTCTGGCTCTGCCCTGAACAGTGGGAGTGAATATAGAGTTAACGTCCTTCTGGCTCTGCCCTGAACAGTGGGAGTGAATATAGAGTTAACGTCCTTCTGGCTCTGCCCTGAACAGTGGGAGTGAATATAGAGTTAACGTCCTTCTGGCTCTGCCCTGAACAGTGGGAGTGAATATAGAGTTAACGTCCTTCTGGCTCTGCCCTGAACAGTGGGAGGATACAGGATTCTTGTTATATTGTAGCGTGGTAAGGATGGCTCCATTGATGATGGTGTAAGAGGATGGGGTGTTAAGCTCTAAGGACGATGGATGGGGTGTTTGGAATACCAGATGCAGGTTGGTTGTGGTGTTAGGGTTACGGGATGCAGGATGGATGAGATTCTGATTAATTGGATTGGTGGTCTTAAGGGGTGAAAGAAGATACCAACTACCTTGTACTTATAACACTATCACATCTAGCCTGGGTCTACCTGTATACAGAGATAGAGAGAGAGAGAGAGAGAGAGAGGATACCAACTACCTTGTACTTATATCACTATTACATCTAGCCTGGGAGAGACAGAGAGAGAGAGACAGACAGAGAGAGAGACAGACAGAGACAGACAGAGACAGAGACAGACACAGAGAGAGAGAGAGAGAGAGAGAAGGGGGGGGGGGTTAAATTCTAATCATATCTCTGATGAAAATAAAGAAGATTATTTTATTTTGTGATTTGTTACAACATAGACTACACATGGACCTTTCAATTATTAACTTCTTCTTTCACTGCTTCTACATTCTCTCTCTCAAAATCAATAATGTGATTATCACACATGGGTATTACTAGAATATGATAAATGTAAGATGAGATTAAACCTCTTAATAGAAAATGCTTGTATTCACAGAAGGATGAAAAAGGTTTTAAAACAAAACAAAAACAACCATTATCACTTGATGATCACAGACCTGCCAACCAGTACGATTTTGTTGTATTGTCATACGATTTTTAGAAGCAAATATATACAACAGTATGGTTTTCCTCAATAAAATTAGATTTTCAAAACCCCTCATGACTTCATGATCATCTGTCATGAAAATACAGATCATATACACATAGACACCAAACTGAATACAAATACATGGGAAAAAAAAACTTAAAGATGACATATAAAACAAAGTAAAGAGAGAAAGCTAATACAAAATACATATATAAACATATGTAACAATTGTCATATGAATGAATAAGGAACAACAAGATTAAATTAAAAAGCCATGATAATGAAAATAACAGAATGAACATTTTTACAGTATGAAAAGCGTTAAGCCGACAAGGTTGTCTAAGCTATAATACATGCACTTGTATTTTTTGATTAACCAACACCATCCCAATAACTGAGTCATTTTCACTTGTAGAATTAATAACAAAACAAAAATTGATGAAAGTAATTGATGAAACTACCGCACCCTAACACTGTTCAATGTTGAAGGTACGGATGGGCCCTGTACAATGTATACATGAAAGGTATAGGAGCAAACAGAAGGAAGTGAAATTAGACGAGAAAGAGAGAGAGAGAGCAAGCGTCGTTAAAATAATTTGTGAAGCCATGAAATTGGTTGTGATACATAAAGCAGCTGTATATGAGTACATACATGATACATGATAAGATGTGAGAGTGTGGAGAGAGAGAGGAAAGACTGGATCGATTTAAAGACTCCAATCAATGTTAGAGCGTGTAACGAGCTGGAGCTAGCTAGCTAGCTGGCCTATCATAAGGCATGTCCTCATCAGCTCCAGATCGCCAAATAGCGGGCTGATCTGGGAAATAATTCAGAAGTTACAAATTGCGTCTTCATCAGCTCGAGATTCGATCTCGAAACTTGAAACTCGACCTTGAGAAATTAGCTCAAGATATTTTGCTAAGCGTTCGCGCATAGTGCGAGTCTTTGGGCTAGTGAAGTCACACCGGACAAATAGCAGGATATTTTGCCAAATAGTGGGATATTTTGCAAACTATCCAAATTTATCTTGGGATGATTATTCCCACCAAATATCCCGCTAATTGCATCTTCGGGCTGATGAAGATGCAAACTAACTGGATAATTTGCGATCGGGATAGTTGAAATAGCGGGATATTTGGCAATCTCAAGCTGATGAAGACAGGCCTATATTGACCACTCACCCATACCTCCCTACTCTCTACTGCTAGTCTAAGGTCACAGGGAAACATATCAAAAGATTACTCTTATGTCTCCAAAATGATGAGAAAAATATATGTTCCAGTCTATTCTATGTACAGAGCATGCTCATTACTTTGCATCCAACATTATCAACTCATTGACAGACATTGTTTACTTGTAATGCAAGGTGCATGATAGAAAATGAACATCTCACTTTTGATATCTTTTTTTTAAGCCACAACTCCTTTTACTTCCATTTTTTTTTGCCATTGCAAGATTTAACATGTATTTGTGGAAAACCCTTGATTTCTTCATTTGATGACAGAAGGAATGAATGAAGAGAGAGAGAAAGCGAAAGAAAAAGAGAAAGAGAAATAGAGATAGATAGAAAGAGATGGAGTGAAAGAAAAAGAGAAAGAGAAACAGAGAGAGAGATAAAGATAGAAAGAGATGCAAAAAGAGAGAGAGAGTAAGAGGGAGAGAAATATAGATAGATAGAAAGAGATGGAGAGAGGGAGAAAGAGGAAGACAAAGAGAGAGAGAGAGACATTGTTGGCCATCGTATACTAATTACCATCCTACCTTTCCATTGTGTTCACTCTACACAACATGACCTTACTTTCCTTGTCATTGTCATTGGGTGATGGGGGATTTAAAGGGAAGGATCAACTCTTCCATGACCCATAAATATGAGCTTGAATTCTGTGCTAAGTTGTTTGTTTTGTTTGCCTATTTTGGAGCCAGAAGGGCTCATATCATTGTACACAGAGTTCATGGCCTTCAGGGTCCTGTTTCATCAAACTTGATATCAATAACAAGTTAGGATCTAGTTGCTATGAGGCACTCAAATCCTTTCATTTGATTGGCTGTGAGCAGATTTGTCACAGATCTGTGGCAGTTGTTGTTGATAACAAGTTTGATCAAACAGGGTCCAGGCTCAAGGCAAATTATATAATGCATTTATGGAGGTGAGAACCTCAGTGGAAAACAATGCTCGGGAGCAGAGACTGACACAGTTTTGACAAATTTCAAAAAGAGCATCGGTAAAGTTGTAAAAAGTATCTGTGAAATAATCAATGTAGTGGAAAAAATGCTTGGGAGCAGAGACTGACACAGTTTGGAAAAATTCAAAAAGACCGTCGGTAAAGTTGTAAAAAGTATCTGTGAAGTAATCAATGTAGCAATGGTTTAATGATAACCTTATGGTTAATTAAGCTTGATAATGTATTTTCCCACTCCTGATAAACTAATTTGAGGTATTATAAGTTCATATCTTCTCTAGATCATGCAGTGTCTCTTCTTCACTTGTCTTGTGATGATGATATCTGTTTGGTGTTGAGTTATTTATGCTTCATAACTATATAAGTAATAATTAGTGGTAGATTTATTTGTACATGTATATCTCTCTCTCTCTCTCTCTTTCTCCTGTCTCTCTCTCCCCTGTCTCTCTCTCCTCTCTCTCTCTCCTCTCTCTCGCTCTTCTCTCTCGCTCCTCTCTCTCTCTCTCCCCCTCTCTCTCCCCTCTCTCTCCCCCCTCTCTCCCCCTGTCTCTCCCCCCTCTCTCTCTCTTTCCTCTCTCTCTCTTTCTCTCTCCGCTCTCCCCTTCTGTCTGTGTGTGTGTGTGTGTCTCTCTATACACATATCAGGGAGGGGGGAGGGGTCAACTGAATCACATCACCACCCTTCCAGGTCAGAGATTCAGATAAACTTCTTCATCTAATACTTAGAGCTGTGCTCTCAAAGCCCTTTTAATATTTGATATCTCTGTAGCCCACTGATGATTGTAGCAGCTTGCCATCTGAGCTTCATCATCATCATCATGCTTTCATTTCTCCTCTCACCCATCTCATATTTCACGTCTCATATTCTCATCGCAGGCCGGTCGGCCCAACTCTTTTCCACCCAACCCGCAATGAGCTGCTGAAAGACAATCAATAGGAAGAGGGCTTTTTAAAATCCATTTTGGAAACAATATTGGAACATGAGTGGTTTTCTTAAATGGAGCTAATTATTGTGTAAGATACACTGCAGCAACAACAATTATTAGAATAATTATATCAATGAGTTATTGTTTATG